GCAGAGCCCCCTGCCCTGGCTGCTGGCACCAGGATCCTCCCCAAAGGAAAAAACTCCAGGGTTGTTGTTGCTTTTTCTTTCTTTCCCACTCAAAGGAAGAACGGTTGCTGAGTTTGTGCCCAGATGTGTTTACTCGAAGGTGCAAGAAATAATTAACAAATAGCTCCACCAGCGTGGCAAGCCTGATTTCCTTCTGGACATAGATCGTGTGGCAGACTGTAGGCTGCAAATGAAGCTTGTCCCACAGCATAGCATGTTTCTTATGGACTCTTCCCCATTCCTTTATAACTCCGAGCCACTATTACTTTTCCTAAAACCAGCTACATAAATATTTACTCTTTTTCACACTTAGTTAGTTCCAACTTATTCCAAAGACTACAGATGGCAGCTTTCTGCTTCAAGCAAGTAATTGTCCTGTGCTTGACCAAAAGGATACAGTATCACTTCTGAGAGCTAGAAAATCCAGGTTGTAGAATAATATAACCTTGTTTTTGCTTTTCAGAACAACTAGAAGATGACATACCCTAAATTAATTTTATTATTTATAGACAAACTGCTTCATACAGTATTGGAGGTTTTAAAAATGTATTCTCTCTCATGTGCCTCTCCCTCCCCTTGCACAGTTGGATTGGTGGTAACTAAGGCAACCCAGCTGCACAGCCTGAGAGGCACAGAAAATAGTACCAGTAATGACTTCTTTTTGTTTTAAATCCCAGAGTTTCTAGAGTACAAGACAATGTTGAGCAATACAGAAACTCCAAAGAGGATAATTTGAAACAATGAGCTGATTCTTTTACTGCCATAAATTTACCTCAGTCAACAATTTGGCTGCAGGGTCTGAGTAGCAAAGATCAACCACGTGATAGCTTCTCCCATTCCTGATGGGTGGAAAACATCACATAGGCAACTGATCTCATGTTCCTTTGACCAGTCAAACTAGAATCCTCAAAAATAAAGCAAAGCAGTGTTCCTTCGGGTTTTGCTCTTGTTGAGACAACCAGATCCTTGGGAGAAATTTGGATCAAATTTCTCCACATCAGACAGAGCAGCATTTCAACTGAGATTTCTTCTCTAGAACCAGCATTTGAAGCAGATTCATTTGTCTTCCAATATATCTGAAAAAAAAACCCCAAAACAACATTCATCAGCTGCTTCATTTCAATACTTTGAAATGTAGGTGGAGAGAAGCTGTAGCTAGCAACAACTACTGCTCCACCAGGGATTGAAACGCCTCCTAAGGGATACCAGGCAAACCCCTTGCAAGGTTTTACAATCACAAAGCCTCTACCAAATCCAGAGGGATGCTCATCCCCAGGTGGTGGAACTGTCCTTTGGGATAGAAACAAGGCAGAAAGGGAGGAAGGGAGGCTGACTGTCAGAGCAGGCAGCAGTTCCCACAGACCCAGCTGTATGTTTGCTGTATTCCAAAAGGGAAAGCTTTGGCCAGCAGCTGGCTGAGGAACATCAGCAAGGGCAAAGCCAAAATTAAAGATATTATAAAGCAAGGGATAAGGCAGCACAACAAGAATAAGCCATTGCTCTCAGGAAAGAGAGAAAACTTATGGTGGAGTAACTTTCTCATGCTCAGTCCATAGACGCACGTGCTCCTCCAGATCTTCTACGAGCTCTTGAATATCTTGGGAAGACATTGCTGCATCATATTTATGTATTTATTTAAGGTTGAACTAAAGTTAGGTAGCAATCTTCTCATTAACCTGCTTTTCCTCTTCTTTTCTGGAGCACTTTTGCACTAAATGCACTTTCCAGAAACATGTAACATGATTATTTTCTCTGAGTTTTATTTTTGTATTTATGTGCTTTTGAAACCAAGTTCTCTTGATACCCTGTTGCCAGCTATTGGGAAATCCAGCCTATGTGGCACCATACAAATCTCTGTAATGCAAGGCAATACTATAAAAAGATTGAATTCTTGATGCTCTCATTCTTCTGAACAGACCTTGAGACTGCAGAAACCCAAATGACAGATAAAGGGATGCAAAGGGCCACTGTGTGGGGTATGAAGTTGTATTACCAATGTACTGGTACAGGCTTATGAACAACAGTTTTTGTATGCATGTTAAAATGCTGATATTCTGCAGGTAGTTATCACTCCAGGCACTAGTTACACCCCTAGTTATTGCAGTATCCAGAAGAGATTCTTAAACTCAGACTCCTTTCCAGAAGATATCTTAATTTGTTGTATCATGCCTTTAAAAAAAAAAGAATGAGTCCAAGTTTATCTCTTCCTTTCAGTGAAAAAAAAAGTTTATATCTGTAATTTCACTATATTGCTGGTGGAACTCAAATTTAAGAGGATTTAAATCCCAGAGTTTGCAAATATGAGTATTTACATTGGTCTCATCCATTCGTCGTAGTTGTGCCACAAACCTGTGATGGCATATTTATATCTTTCATCTTTGTCATTCCCCCAAGCTGCAGCTTACCCCTCGGGTAGAGACAACTGGCTGTTTAAAGGAAATCTGCACTACCTCTTACATGTCCTGCTCTCGGTGATAACCTTATCTGACGATCCACTGGAGGCAGACCAGATCAGAAGCTGTGGCAACCCAGGGCTTATGATTTCATCAGTGGAGGCCAGACATTAACAGGTGCTGGTTAACATGCTGGCCCTGGCCTAAGAGGCTATTTTTTTCTTTGTGGTCTTCAAAATATCTGTTTGGTCTGTACAAAATACAGGATCATTTCGGAAGGAATAAATGCCAAGATTCTGTTCCATATCAGGTCAATCGCCAAATGCTATGCAGGCTGGAGAGAAATAAAATACAGCAATTAGTGTTTCAGAGCCTCAGAGGTCTATGGACATGGAAGGAACATATAAAAGAGAGTCACATGTGAGTGAATGATCATCATCAGGGAAGAAGAGAGGCTGAGACAGTGTGTTAGATAATGTACCCAAATATATTTGATTATTGCCACATGTGGTGCCCCACAGTAGCACAACTGGTCCCTAAGTGGTGCTTCAGAAAGCTGTGGGATTTCAGTAGGTCCTGTGCTGTCCTGACCAGCCATGTGAGGATTCTCCAGATATCCAAGTGCAAATCTATCTGCTGCTTTTCTAGACAAGCTTTATTTTTAAAGTTTTTCACATACTCTCACCCCAAGCTAGGTTTGCTTGGTGGTAGATACTTTCTCCCACTGGCAAAGCACAATTATTCTCAATGGATGAGGCCCATGGTACATTTCAAATCATTCCTCAGTAGTTGAGTAATAGGTTACTTGCTGGGGACATCCCAGGCTCATTTGACTTCTGCAGCACTTTAGCATTAGTAGCTGTTCCAAGACATGCACTCGTAGTTTACTCCCACTCCCAGATGGGTAGAGTTCCCCAGGGATGTTGGGAGGCTGGGCCAGGTTCACATCCTCCTCCTAATGGGCCTTCCCCCACCCTCTATATCCTGCCCCCCCCAATAATATCTTCTCCTCTGTGTCCAAACAGGAGATTCAATAGTAATACTGGACCACAAATGGAGAAGCAAGTGAATTCTTCTCTTGAAGCCAAACGATCTCTCCATGAATGCTGAACCCATGAAGTAGAGGAAAATAAATGCAGCTGTGATAAATCCTTTCTCCAATGCATTGCAGCTTCTGGTGAAGCCATTATGACATCAGACATATGGAAAACTGGTGGAAAAAATGAAATGTTTGCCTCTTACATGATAACTCTGAAACTGCTATGAATAAGAAAATTGTGTTCATCTGTTTACACAGATTTCTCATCTCTTGCACAATGTACGTGAGGATGTGTCCATGGTTAAAACTCGTCACTGGTAAATGTACTCCCTCATGAGCTTGGCACCACTCTGTGAAAGACCTGTGAAAGCAAGCCAACTCTTGTTTGGATTGCCCTTCATCAAGTCTGGAAAAAATTAAGAGGAGAGATAATTTTAACAGTGCTGTGACTTCCAAGCTAGCTAGATAACAAATTGGGCTAACAAGGACTGTAATTAGAAATGTCTGCTCAGAAAGTTCACCATGAAGCCAAGTTCTTCTAATAAGAAACTTTCTGTAATATTAATATGCTTAATATCTCCCCTCCATTTTAACAGGAAATCTGAGGGCAAAACTTTCTTCATTTTTCTTGGTTTCAGTTAATCTCACAGCAAAAGTAACCTAATTATACTGACTGTATGATTGCTTTGACAGAAAGCATGTTAATTTAAAGCACTGTTTAACATAAAGCTGCCTGCCATATAATTACACTCCATTCACATGTTTACTAATCTTCCTCAATATAGTTGATTTCTGTTATTAGCCTCAACGTCTTGTTAACATCTAAAACACTGGAGATCTGCTTTGCAAACTCCAATAAACAGGCAAGTCTGAAAGTACATAAGTGTTCCATAATGGTCAATGTGAAAACGAAAAAAATCTTTGTTATTATTCTTGCATTTTAAGAGGATTTGAAACTAGTTGCAGTACTTAAATGTCTAACTCTGTGCTCATTGCCAAAACCCTCGCTTAGAGCTACTGTGCATGCAGTTCACCGGGGTGTTATTTTCACCTTTCGAACGCTGCTGGAGCTTAGTAAAAATGAAACACATTGTAAGCTGCCTGTGAGCAATAAAAGATAATGTGTATACATAAGATTGTTCTTCTCATATGCTAAGCACCTGATAAAAATTCTAATCTGGGAAGTTAACATACTAGACCTAGACTGTAAACTAAGTTAATGAAAGACGTGCACGCATTCAGTATTTCCCAGCTTATCTAGATAACTCGCTCTAGCTAACTTTGCAAGGGGAATGTAAACTGTTACATGTCCCCACACACAAACACGCCCCTCCCTCCTTTTCTGTTGAAGCTAAAGGAGAACATGGAAAGAATTCAGCTGGAAGATGCTGGTGAGAGGAAAGAGAGACAGAAGAAAAATCATGAAGGGAATTAGGGAAGAAGAGAAAGTGCAGGTTTGTTGTGCATTTTTATCTCTTTCTCTCTTTCTTTTTTTTTTTTAATTCTTTTATTTTGTACTTATAGTCCAGTACAAACAGTTTAAATGTCAGAAACTCAAAACAAAGTCTGGTCCCCAGAACAGAGGGATAGGTCTTTCCACTTCCAACCAGAGGATTTGAATGGCAGATTTCACCCTAAGCTCTTGCTCACACCAGGGTACCTTTGGGATCTGATGTGGTGACTGTGCTGCTGGACTACAGGGCATTTAAGGAGGATTTAAAACTAGGGCTTTGAGGAGAATCACGGGAGACGTCACTTCTTTCTTTGAAAAGGGCTCAGAAGAGGCACTGTTCTCTGCTACATCCTGTATGGAGAGAAGGTGGATTCCAGTCATGCACTTTGGGAAAGCAATCAGGAATGCCTGTCCTCAGAACACAACTGCTGGGATCTTGGGCTTGTTTTTCTCCTTTCTCTGATGTTCTTGAAGCCCTGAAAGGGGGAAACCATGTGTCATTGCTCACAAATCAACGTTTTCCCTGTGATTTCCAAAAGGCTTTACCGAGGTGTTCTGAGTGAGGATCTGCCCTTTACGACATTTACACCAGATTTCTCTTTCCAGTCCATTACCCTCTATCATTTTATTTTGAGTAAGTATGCAAAAGTCAGTCAGAACTGTTTATTTATAGCCGTAGATTTTCACGGCTGTATAAATTAGATGTTATTACTGAATGAGATGCCCGCCCCCTCACCCAGCACAGCTGTACAGCAATCCTTTCATGCTGCTCCACGGTGCAGTCTCAATGGGCAGGGAAACGATGTCCTCCCATTCCGACGGAGGGACCGCTGCTTAAAGCCTTGGGTGAAAAAACAGCAATTATTTTTTTCAACGGTGCAATCTGCGGTATGACAACCACAATTAACTAATACTATTTAGACCTGCCACTGGCAGAGAGAAAATGAAGGATTAAATTCTCCAGAGGAAAAAAACCCACCTAAACTAGAACATACCCCTGGACTTTTGTTTTATAAGATTAAGTGGTTTTACTTCAGAGTGAGTGAGGGGGATGGGAATAGTAAGGGGAGGTAAAAGCAAAATTGGTTGTTAGTTGAGACAGAGAGCCATTAGAAAATAGGGACTCATCCCATACACACACACACACAGATGTTTCCAGCAGAAACAGCTGGACAGCAATATCCACCACCATTAGGAGCTTTCATCTTAACTCACACCTTTGTAACAGTTTACTCCCACAAAAAGCATAGGCAAGTGCTACTTTATTCCATCCCCTGTTTCCCACACAAATTTCTTGGTTTGGGTGCCTGCCAGAGCTTCAGGGTCACAATCTGACCTCAATAACATAATTTAGGATTGTTCCAAGCCTTCAGTGGAACTACTGAGGATTTACTTTGATGGATATGTAGCCAGGATCTGGCATGCAGAAAATACGCATTTACATTCTACCAAAGTGTCTAAAATAGTTGCCCAGGGACACTGAAATTCAATTTGAGACCTTGTATTCACTTGGCAGAGCACATAATTAAATATTTTGTGCCACAAAATTAACCAGAGTCTCGGGGGTCTGGGTAAGAGAAGGCTTAGAATCAACCATGAGAGCCAAACTAAGACCCACTTCCCAGGCAAGTTATTCAGTAAATATTGGAAAAAATAATTGCATTCATGTACGGGTTCATAATATTTTTTTGTTAGTATTTAATCTTACTGAGTATCTGTAATAACCTTTTACCTCAGAGGAAGAGATTATTGGCTGGGTGGATTCATATGAATAACACCAATGTCAAGATGTGCTCTTGAACTAAAGCTCCTTCTTACAGCAAAGACCTGCTTGTCCTTGAATTAACCATTTGGAAAAAAAAATCAGGTAAAAACCAAATACAATTCCAATAGGCCAGAGCTCGTAAAAAGTGGCCCAAAGCTCCAAAGCAGATTTTTTGCCTTTTTTTAAGTCTCCAGAGGCCCTACCCTGCAAGGAGTTTAATGTTTCTGAAAAGCAAACCAAATACCTAAGGTGTTTGATGTCAATACACTTCAGTTTAACTTCCAAACACTGATGTTGCTTTTAAAAGCAAGAGCTTGAGTTAAACCTCTAGGATATGGCCCAATAATAGTTCTGAGTTATAAAATTTAATACTTGGTGTTTCAACTGTCACCTTCTATCAACTGTTCTCAAATCATTTAAGCAAACCTTCAAGTTCCTTTAGGCTTGAGAGGGTAATTTCCCTTACTACCTGGAGAACAGCACATAGAAAAGAAAATAATGCTTTATTCTACACCCAAGACAAACAGAATTACCTCCTCCAAGTATGTAGAACAATATGATTTCACTGTTGGTATGGACTACGTTCCTTAAGGAGAGGAGATGGAAACCAATGTATACCAACACCAACCTGCTTTTCGTTTTGAGACGCTAATTCAAGTTTGTGATGTGGAACCACCCAGTGATGATGCCATCACCAGCTGGCAGGTGAAAGACAGATCCATCACTTAGTCTGATAAAAGATCATGTGTTACAATACACCATCACTTCTGCCTGTGTTTGGAAACTCCAGGTTTTCCTTCTACTGCTGTTCTTCCACATCAGGATCAAAAGCTCTGGTAGCAGCATCCCCTGGATCTGGCACAGAACGCAGGCACACAATACGTGCACACAGGCAAAGGCCCATCTGTGAGGAGTGCAGGCCCCCAGTTGACAAACTGTGCTGCAGAGGTGGCTGGCCCCAGGCTTGGAGGTGACAGGGGGCGTTGAGCAGGCAACACAACATTTTGCCTTGCTGGCGGAACTCTCACCCAGGGGTTTACAAGGGGCTGTTCTTGTTCAGGCTCATGAAGCACCCTTCCCTGCCTTGGCCAGCAGAAGGAACTCCCCATAACATGGGAGAAGTCTCAGTGCTGAGTCAGAGCTCACACAGGCTGTGGTTATGTGACAGCCACATGCTCCCATGGCACGTCCACAGCAGGGCTCACTGTGTCCAGGCATCAGTGCCCAAGTGGGAAATGAGGACACATGTATATAAGAAGAGCTCCATGATTAAGCATTTCTTTTCATCAGGTTTTTCTAGATATGGACAGAGAGAAGGACAATTGTGGAAGTGTGCCTCAAAAAGGGAAGAACCACACTTTGAATCATAAGCTCATTAAGGTTGGAAAAGACCTCTAAGATGATTGAATTCAAACATTAACCCAGCACTGCCAAGTCCACCACTAAACCATGTCTCCAAGTGCTACATCTACATGTCTTTTGAATGCTTCCAGGGACAGTGATTGCACCACTTCCATGGGCAGCCTGTTCCAGTGCCTGACAATTCTTCAACCCTTACAGTGAAGAGATGCTTCCTAATATCCAATCTAAACCTCCCCTGGCACCATCTCTTCTCTGTGGTGACCAGTGACAGGACCTGAGGGAATAGCATGAAGTTGTATCAGGGGAGGTCTAGGTTGGATATTAGAGAAAGATCCTTCACCCAGAGGGTGGCTAGGCACTGGAACAGGCTCCTCAGGGAAGTGGTCAGAGTACCAAGACTGAGGGAGTTCAAGAAGTGTTTGAACAACACTTTCATGCACATGGTGTGACTCTTGGGAACGGTCGTGTGCGGGGCTAAGAGCTGGACTTGACCACCCTTGTGGGTTCCTTCCAACTCAAAATATTCTGTGACTGTGTGATACTCTGTGAACTTGAGGCTGTTTCCTCTTGTCCTGTCACTTATTACCTTGGAGAAGAGATCGGCTCCAACCTGGCTACACCCTCCTTTCAGGTAGTTGTAGAGAGCAATAAGGCCTCCCCTGAGCATGCTTTTCTCCAGGCTAAACAACCCCAGGTCCTTCAGCTCCTCCCTATCAGTCTTGTCCCCTAGACCCTTCACCAGCTCCTCTGTCCTCTGGACAGGCTCCAGCACCTCAACGTCTTTGTTGCAGCGAGGGACCCAAAACTGAACACCGGACTCGAGGGGCGGCCCCACCAGCGCCCCTGTTTTCAGCACTGAAGTGCGGAATACCGCTGCCGCCGGGGCTTCTCCCCTCCCGCCGCCCAGAGAACCGAACCCGAACTCGGCACCTCCGCTGCCCCCGGGGCTCAGACGCCGTGACCGCTCCCTTCGCTGCCATTCCCTGGCCACAGGAACCGCGGGCGGCACGGCCCCACAGCGCCGCCTGCTGGCTGCGCGGAGCACGGCGGGGCACGGGCGGGAGCGGGAGCTGCCGGTGGAATTCCCGGGGGGAGCCCTGCCACCCCCAAGCTCCGGGAAGGGCCGACTCCCATCCCGGAAGCCTGCTAGCTCTCTCCCACAGCGGGTCGTTGCAGCGCTGTGTGCGGTTGTGGGCGATTTCAGCGTTACCGGTGACGTTCCGGGACGGAGCGACCGGGGCTCGCTTCAAGATTATAAACAGTGTTAATTCATATTGCGTTACCAGACCCGACTCATGAATCCCCACAGATGCGCTAGCGTTTGCTCCTCAAGCACTGGGGAAGTCTTTTGGCACTGACCTTATTTCACTTGCACATCTGTGAGTCCAACGCAGCCCCAGCCCAAAAGCAACCCCTGTCCCACACCCCCGATGCTGTCCCACTGTGGCATCCCACAACCAACCAACCAACACCATCGTATTAAGTCAAAATCACAGGGAGAGGGAAAATAAATAGAAAGTTGGCAATTTTGATCAACACAGGTAACGATTATGTGCAAGAGGGAAAAAACCAAATGTTAATACAGGACATTATTTTTATCCATAGTTTCAGGTTTGTGGTTGTTTTGCCCTTATTCTTTTTTTTCCTTTTTTTACCTTCCATTTTCCTCTTTTTTTTTTCTTTTTTAAAAACAGATGTTGCCAAGTGTTGTTGAATCACACATACCTTAAAATGGCTCACAACCATTCGAGGAACAACCCCCAGGCTCTAAATCCTTACATCACTAATGCAGCCTCCTTGTTGCTAGCTTGCCAAACAATAGTCACTGTTCCTGCAGGATCTAGCCAAAAATAATATGATGTGTAACTGTCTTCCCACTGTTGTCTTTGCAAAACTACTTATAAGTTCCAGAGATGCCTTCACGGATGGTGCACAGCACAAATAAACCCAAAAACAGCAGAACAATTTGAAAAGCTTGTAGGAACACTGGAAGTGGGTGGAGTAGAAATAAGTAAGTGGTAGAGGATAGAAGAGAGAAAAACATTATGAGGAAGAATTTATATTAAGAGACAGTGAAGCATTTAGTCAAGCAGCTGTCTTCATGTTGTTGTATAAGTGAAAAGAAAACAAATATTTGAGTACTCCTGTCACTGAAACTTGCATATGATTTGTGAGCACAGTGGTTGTGCAATTGCACCTTAAATGATGCTATTATGCAGCTCTGGTTTTAGAAAGAGTCAGTTTGAATGAGGATTTCTGAAGGAACACAAAATGACTATGCCTCCCACTGTGAGAAAACCCTCATCTGAAGAAGAAATATCTAGAAATCATAAGGATCATAGACTCACTAGGTATACATATAGCCTATAGCTTATGGGCAGTCTGTATTGAATTCAAAACTGCAGAAAAGCATAAAGGGGGAAAAAAATGGAGTTATTTCAAACTGCCACCTTAATTACTGAATTTATTTCCAATGTGTAGTTCATAAAATACCAGTGAAGGATCACCTTAGCTTTTCTGCTATCAATAATCCAGGCCACAGCAGAGGCACTTTGGTCAACCGCTGGAACTTCAACCTGTTGTTGTCTGTGTTGTACATTTCCTGATAAAAAGATCATTCATCTTCCATCACCAATACATTTATTGATAAAGAAAGCCCTGAAAAACAGGACAAATTCACATACATGCTGTGCGTAGTGTGAAAATTGCCTTTTCAGTTTTCCATCACATTTCTACTTCTAATCATTTTTCTACTTAGTCATTGTAAGCCTCAGTTCTAGAGTCTGACACAAATTCAAAGCTGAACTTTGACCTAAGTCCTGAATCAGAGCGTAGAAAAAACTAAGCAAGCAAAGAAAAGTCTCTTCAAATATTTCAGATGAAAGCTAATTAAAAAAAAAAATAAAAAAGGAATTTCTGGCAAATCCTGAAGCTGATATTTCCACAAAATGCAACCCAATCACAATGTATTTACTAATCACATCATATTTATTGCTAACAAAGTGTTGCAAGTCCTTGCTACAATGAGCCTCTGTTTAGCCATTACTGGCTATTTGATAAATGATCTGCAGTGTTAAAAGGTCACAGAAGAATGTTAGAGAAATACCGGGGGAAGAAAAGAGAGAAAAAAAACCCCAAACCTGAAGTGTCCTGCAAGACCAGATTGTGGGAGAGACTCAGATATGCTCTCTTTAAATATGACCATCCCTTATAAGGAAGAAAATCATTACCAACGTAAAGTGCAGCCTGTAGGCAAAGCCTGTGCCATTCCGATGTATCCTCCAATATATGTCCCTAGTGACGTGTCCATATACTCATCCTGAAAGTATGTTCCACTGAATGTACAGCTGCAGTGACTTCCTCCTCAGGGGAAACGGCATCTATACGTCTAGAGAAACAAACACGTGGGTCCAGGTCTGACCCTCTGACCTCCACATGTTGCAAGCTTCTTCTTGCAGAGCCAACGGAAAGGAAACAACTCAGAGCAAACAATGCAGGACATCATTCCATGAGTGTACTGTTGTGGTCAGCTGGAAAAAAACAACAAGCAAAACAGTCGTGACAGAAATTAGGTTGATCTGGTCAGAAAAAATTCCTTTCCTTTTAGTGGTGGTGGTGCCTTTTAGGAGTTTCTGGTTTGTTTTGCTGAATTACTCAGGTTTGCAGTTTCCTGATTATCAGAGTGCTCACAGAGCACTCCTACGCTCTCTGTCTGTGCATGTCAGTGCCGTCTCCCATTCCCCAATGAGAAAGGCATTTTTGACAAATTGATAAGATGGAATTTTCCCATACACTCACTGTCAGGCAATCAGAGCACTGCATGGTATGTTAGAAATGAAAAAATGTGCTCTAACTTGGACTAGCCCTCCAGTTCCTCTCCCTTCCTCATCTCAGGGTCAGAGCCAGATAGAGAAACATCTCCCAGGCTACAGCACTTTCATTACTGTAGCAAATGCCAGGTACAGTCATGTGCCCTGGGTTTGGTCCTTTTGCCCACCTACCTTAACTGATGGGGAGTTTCAGTGAAGCAGGAGAAACAGTAGATGAAGGAATGAAAACATAGCCGTTGTATCCAACATTGGCAACAAGCACACAAACCCCACATGCTGTATCTTACTTGTGTGCTGCCTCATATGCTCCGAGGAGCAATCAGTAAAGCATGATTTCCCTCATACAGACTGAAAATACCTGAAACCTGGGCTTGTAATGCAAACTACACTTACACTGGGGTTTGTATGGGAGGGCTTTCCTATGGGAAAGGAACAAGGGGCACAGGGGAATTCCCTGCTTGCTAACATATCATCCCATGAAACACCTAAAATGCCCAAACTGTCGAAGAGGAGATTTAGGTTTGGGCAAGCAGTATGGTCACAGAATGATTTAATGATTAACGGAGGGGTTCCTTTGTTTAACTCCAGCTGCGATGAGCTTTCAGTTCTCCTCGGTGTCAGGAGCAGCCAGGACTTTCCAAGGGCAGGCAGCAGGAGGCAGCAAGCAGCAGGCCACATCTGTCAAAAAGGTGCTGCTATGAGCAGGCAGCGTGGGCCAGCTTAAGGACCTCTCTTCCTGCCATTGTTATCCCTGCAGCCCTGGAATTTGACCCCTTGCTAAACAGTCCATGCATACTTCTCTGATTAGGGTATTCCTGTTCAAGGAAAGAAGGGAGTGGCGTGGCGAAGGTGGAAGGAGAGCAGCTTTCTCCAATCCTGCCCAAGCAACGGGAGTATCCTGCTGTGCACTGGGCTCCTGGATGGGCACGTGGCTCTACAGAAAAACGGCTTGCCCAGTGTCCGATGGGGAGCAGGTCTGTGCACCTTGGTTGTGCCCCACAAGCAGTCACTGCTAAAGGGGAGAGAAAACAACACAAAGGATGCAGTTCTTCACCCATCTTGCATTTACTCGTGAAAGAAATTTGTTGGCCATTTAGGACCCAAGCGTTAGGAAAAGTGTGTTATTATTGCAAATTTTGAAGTCTGAAATGCATTGTACTTTTCTACAGTGCAGCTCTCAGTCTGCCTTAATGTCTCGCCGTCCTTGCAAATAGCTTTTATTTCTGCACATATTTTATATTGATTTGGCACAGCATTCCCCTGTGCAAGCACTGGCCTTGGTTTCTCCCTTTACAGGAGGGGGGATTATATTTTTTTAATATTTTCTATCAATAGGATGATTTTTGTAACAGTTCACTGCCACTAAACATTTGAAGTCTCAGACAATGCTCCAGTTCTGTACCTCAAAAATACGTCTCAGTGGTCTTTGCCTTGCAATTTGTTGCGTATAGGCACCCCAAGGATGACTGTTGTTTTTATCTTTTTCTGAGCACCATACTCTTAAAAACTTTGTCTTGTTCTCAAACCTCTCCATCTGTTTTTCCCCTCATTTTTGTACCAGCCTATGCGCTACTAAATTCCTTTTCCCTTACTAGACCTCAGAATTTCATATAACACAGAATAATCACCAATTAAGTATTACAATCTGCTTCCAGCTGTCCCACTTTGCTGTTCTACGTTCTATTTCCCCAACCTTTCTACATGTGAAACTTCACAATTTCTTCCATGACAAGGCTGCTGATGTCCAAGGACAGGCCACTCACTGTTCCTACTCCAACTCTTATCACTCAACCTATATGTCTGCCCATAAATGAAAGCATTTCTATAAGCCAAATTGGACTGCCCTTAAATAGAAGAGCACATAAACCAAAAACTACTTTTAAAACACCTGAAACTAAAAGGTCTGGACAGAACACTCCAGACTTATCAAAAGAGGATCTGGGTCTTCTGGCACAAGAGCCTCATTTCATTCCCTTTGTTTTTACTGAGCTTTGGATCAATGCATGCAAAAAATGTTTCCACTGGGCTTTCACTTTGGACATCCACTCAGCTATGCGTTCCCGTACAGTCATGTGCTCTTATTACGGTTCTAATTATAAAGGTCACAGAGCTCTATTTATTGTTTCATAAGCTTTGGCCACAAAGTTCACAAGATCATACTGAGCTGAAAACTGAGGCAATCGAGTAATCAAGCTAAGCACATTTGTTGCAATTACAGCCCTTTATTCGTTTTATTCACACACACTAACCTTCTTCTCTGCCTTCCCTTCTCCCAAGCCCTGTTGCCACCACACCAGCTTGGAGTAGTGGTGTTGCTTTGTTGTGAGCAGCGACCCTGCATCATGTAGACAGCTGAATTAAGTCCTATTGCTGCACTGATCTAAACTGACATTTTGACAGGAGTGACATAGGTGTGCCTTGGCAAAGACATGGCAGTAAATGATGTTGCAGCAAAGATATACCATTTGAACGGACAAAGCACATTGAGTTAAACCTCAAGCCAGGCTG